ATCCCTGGTACCAAAACAAAAACAAAAACAAAAACGAACAAACAAACGAACAAACAAACAAACAAAAAACACACAAACAAGCAAACAAAAACAGTCATGTAAGAACTATTTACTGATTTATAAGAGTATACTGTGTACTAGTCATTGCATTAAGTTCTAGGAATACAATAAGTGTGAATAAAAGCTGGAGTTGTATGTGGGGTGTGAGTAGTATAAACACAGAGGCTAAGATTTACTTTACAGTGGTATAAATGAAGGGAGAAACAAGGAGGATGGACTTGCTTATTTGCCTAACATGGACAAGATCCTGGGTTTGATCCCTAGCACTGCAAAAGAAACAACTAGTGAGGTGAATAGAGAGGCTACGTCTTGGGAGCAAATTTTGACCATTTGCACATCAGATAGAGCACTAACCTCTAGGATATATAAAGAACTCACAAAGCTAAACACCAAAATAATAACAAATAACCCAATCAATAAATGGGCCAAGGAACTGAACAGACACTTCTCAGAAGAAGATATACAATCAATCAACAAATACATGAAAAAAATGTTCAATATCTCTAGATATTAGAGAAATGCAAATCAAAACTACTTTAAGATTTCATCTCACTCCAGTCAGAATGGCTGACTATAAGTGCTGGCGAGGATGTGGGGGAAAAGGCACACTCATACATTGCTGGTGGGACTGAAAAATGGTGCAGCCAATATGGAAAGCTGTATGGAGATTCCTTGGAAAACTGGGAATGGAACCACCATTTGATCCAGCTATCCCACTTGTTGGTCTATACCCAAAGGACTTAAAAACAGCATACTACAGGGTCACGGGCACATCAATATTTATTACAGCACAATTCACTAAACTACTAAACTGTGGAACCAACTTAGATGCTCTTCAATAGATAAATGGATAAAGAAAAATGTGGTATATATACACAATAGAATATTACTCAGCAATAAGAGAGAATAAAATCATGACATTTGCAGGTAAGCGGATGGTTTTGGAGAATATAATGCTAAGTTAAGTTAGCCAATCCCAAAAAACCAAATGCTGAATGTTTTCTCTGACATAGGAGGCTGATTCATAGTGGGGTTGGGAGAGGAAGCATGGGAGGATTAGTCGATAGGGCAAAGGTGAGGGAGGGGAAGGGAGGGGGCATGGGGGTAAAAAGATGGTGAAATGAGATGGACATCATTACTTCTTTGCCTAAATAAGTATGAAGACACGACGGGTGTGAATATACTTTATATACAACCAGAGATATTAAAAAATGTGGTCTATATGTGTAATATGAATTGTAATGCATTCTGCTGTCATATATAATGAATTAGAATAAAAAATAAAATTTAAATGAATAAAAAAATTAAATAAAAAATAAACATCAAACACCCACCACAGAGGTTAAAAACATAACAACAGGATTTGCCAGTATTTCAGAAATTCCCAGTTTGCTTCCAAATAAATATTCTCTTTCCAGTTCATTCCAGAGGTAACTACTATACTCATTTTTGTGGTAGTTATTCTTTCATTTTCCTTATAGCCCTTAGAAATGTATTTCTAGAAGAATATTACTTGGTCTTGGCTTTTTGTCTTTTATTCTATGACTTACTTTTCTCCTTCAACATTACGATTTTTTTTCAACATTACAATTTTAAGATTCATTCATATTATTTCATGTAGCTGTAGCTCCTTCCTTTTTCCTGTTATATAGTATTTCACTGTATGAATATACTACAATTTATCCTTTTTGTTGGTGGACATTTAGCTTGTTCATACTTTTTTGACATTACAAATGATAACACTATGAAGGAACATTTTGGAACATGTCTCAAGGAGCACACATACTGAAAAGTTCATCTAAGGTATAGAGGAATAAGATGGCTGGGTGGAGGGTACGTGCATGCTCAACTTTAGTAAATAATGCCAAGTTATTTTCCAAAGTGCTTATGCCAATTTACATTCCCACCAGTAAGTGAGTTTCCCATTGCTCTGAATTCTTGTCAACACTTGATATTGTCAGATTTTGCCAGTTGTTGGGTTCAAAACCTCTCTTAGTGTTAAATTGTGTCACATAGTTAATAGTTCTACTGAATTCACATGAATCCTATTCAGATATTTCTTTGGCTTGTTCCTTATTTTCAGGAAACATAAACTTTATATGACATTAACGTATTTCACTTGTGAGCTGTTACTAAAACTATGGCATAATTTTTGAAGAGTGAAAAGGGGGAAGGGAGATATTTGTATAATTTAAGGGCTCGATACATTATAAGACGTTGGTAAGATGAATGACCCCTTACTCGTGGGTACATAGCAGCTTTGCATCATGGTGCTAAGAATCTAGATAAAAATATATCTTTTGTGGGGCTAATAGAAGCCACTCCATTCAACCCCCAAAAAACCCATCTGATCCTCCTCCCCTTTTTCTAAACTCATTCCCCCTTGGTGCTTCTTGCCCCTTTAGAAGTTTATTTATGAGAGTATTCACATCATAAACTCTTGAACCAAAATTTCACACTTGGGCCCATGTAGCTGCTGTATAATCTAAGACTCTAAATATCTCGGGTTGTTTTCCTTAGAGTTTGCCTTGAGGAAGAAATTAGAGATCATATTTTATTCAACACTTGGCATATTTCTAAGAATGATGGGCATTATCTCGCCTTCCCAATGTTAGCCTATATCCCTTACTCCAAAATATTTCCATCTATTGAGTTTACTCTTTGCAGAATTATTTTGCTCCACCAATCTCCAGGGAAAATACAGTGTGCATAGAAATTATTCTTAATTTCTCCTTTCTCACCACTTTTTTTCACAGAAGGGTTCTTCCTTGTGTCTAACATTCTTTGCAAAAGCAGCAGCAACTTTTATGATTCTGTATCCTGAATGGTGGTCCACCCAAGCTGAAGTTCTGAAACTTGTAACCATTTGTTTCCTTTAAAACTTGTAGCAACAAAACTTTAAATAAAAGGCAGGGTGTTAGATCTTGGCAATCAGAAGGCTCATAAGTGCACTTTTCTTCCCATGACCAGCCACCTCATTGCCTTATCTTCTCCTGTCCAACTTATTTCATGCTTCCTTCCTGCAGTTCTGTTTCTGACCCATGGTAGACTCTCATTTTTTTTTTTTTTTTTTTTAAGACAGGGTCTTACTCAGTTGCGGAGGCTGACCTCAAATTCCTCCTCCTTGCTATGGCCTCCTGAGTAGCTGAGACTACAGGTGTTTGGCACTGTGCCCTGCTGAAGTGTGACATTTAAGAAGACTTTTTTGAATGGTAAAATACACATACATTAAGTTTACTTTTTTGTGTATGGTGCTAGGGATCACATCTAGGGCCTGGCGCATGCTAGGCAAGTGCTCTGCCACTGAGCCACACTGCCAGTCCCTACTTTATCCATTTTGAAGTATATAGTTCAGTACTATTAAGTACCTTCATATTGTACAATCAAGCTCAAGAACACTCTTTATCTTGCAAAACTGAATTTCTGTTCCATTAAACATCTCCTGATTGCCCACCCTCCCTCCGGTCCCAAGTAACCACTGTTCTACTTTCTGTCTCCATGAATTTGACTACTCACCTCATGTAATGGAATCATTCAGCATTTGTCCTTTTGTGACAGGCTTATTTCATTTAACCAAATGTCCTCAAGATTCAACCACATTGTGCTATGTATCATAATCTCTCTTCTTTTTAAAGTTGAAAAAATTTATTCTATGTATATACCACACTTTCTTTATCCATGCATCCATCCATCCATGGACCCTTGGGTTACTTCCACCTTTTGGCTACTGTGAATGATGCTGTGAACACAAGTGTACAAATATCTCTTCATGATCCTGTGACAAGAGGATTCTTTTTTGGTCTACATCCAGAAGTGGAATTGATGGGTCATATAATTTTTAAATATTTTGAAAAATCATTACCGTTTTCCATAATGACTATATTAGGCAGACACTTTTTTTGGTGGAGGTGGTGGTAGGAAGAATGGAACTCAGGCTCTACCACTGAGCTACATCCCCAGCCCCAGGGGTTACACATTTAAAATTTCTGTTATGCCCTAGAGGAAAAAAATTATTGTACTGTAGCCTTCATCTGAGGGGAAAAAATTGTATGGCTAAGAATGAACACCGTCAGTGTTCATGCTTTATTAGAAAATGATTAAAATGATTAAGAGCAAGGAATTCCTATAATTGGGACAGACTTTATAGACCATCTGATCCAGTCATATACAAGAAGTAAACTGGGATTCAGACAGCAAGTGGCTTGTGGAGGACAAGGGGCTAGTTAAGGGGGAAAAACCAGAAATGGTGTTCAGAGATTTCCAATCTTCAACCTTAGGCAAAGAAAACAATTTTCAACACTAAATACTGTGTGACAAAGAACAAGAGCTATGGAGTGGATTTCACAACCCTCTGCCTGTCGTATAGGTATTGTTTGTTATCCTCCCAGTTGTTCTGGTTGACATTGAAACCGAGGTGCTCTTCTAGATCCCACTGCTGGAGGGGTCGAGCATCCTAGGAGATGGAGGGGGAGACAAAGGAAAGCAGTTCATAATTAAGAGCTACCAAGCATGGAATAAGACCCATAGAGCTGCCAGTGTGGGGCACGGATTCAGCACCCTTCTTGGGGTCTCAAAGATCCTCGCGCTCCACTAGGGAGGTCCCCATGCTCCGGAATCCGAACGAGAGGGCTCGGGGACTTCTGGGGACAGCAAAGCAGTCAGAGTCGCGGAGCCCGGGCAACTTCCCCGGCAGGACCGCGCCCTATCTCCCCCGCCGCAATCGGGGAGCCCCGGGCGCAGCCGAGCGCAGGCTGCGGACCGCGGCAGGCACGTGGGCTCGGCCGCAGCGCTGCGCCAGGCACCGGCTACCCGCTCGGCCCAACCTCGGCGCTCCCGCCTCAGCCCCTGCCTCTAGGGAGAGGGTTCCTCCCCCCTTCCACTTTGCACCAGTCCGAGGGAATTTGCGGTCGGTGACGCGCATCCTTAAGCGAGCCACCTGCAGCGCGGGGCGCGCCGCTCGGGGCGGCGTCGCAGGGTTGGGCTGGCGCGGCCTGGGGACCCCGGGCTCTGGAGGCCATGCCGGCGTTGGCGCGCCGCGGCGGCCGGCTGCCGCTGCTCGGTAAGGCCCTGCTCGCCTGCTCGCAGACCCCCGCAGTCCCTGGTGCGGCCCCTCGGCCCCCACCCTGCACTGGGGACCCGGGCGCGCGCCTCCTCCGGCCCCGCCGCCTCGCTCCTCCCCACGCTCGCTCCTTCCATCGCCTCCTGCGCCCCTCCTCTCTTTCGCGCCCTCCCGGCTCGCCCAGAACTTGCCCACGGCCCCGGCTTTTCCCACCCCTCGTCCTCCTCCCTCTTGCTAACGTCCCTCCTCGGGTCACTGCCGCGGTCCTGAGCGGGCCCGTACTCCACGGGCGGCCTCTCCAAGGCTCGGCGCCGGGTCCGGGGCCGCGGCGTCCGCCTGCTCGGCCCGCACGGTCTGGCGGTGGGCAGTCCGTGTGAGTCTGCGGCCGCGAGCTTTGCTCCAGGTGGCCCGGGACCACGTCTGAACCGAGTCCTGGATACAGTAGACGCCCAGGGGTGGGGGGGTGACTTTAACTCTTCTTCTGAGGTTTTGATTTATGGGGTGAACTTTGATGGGAAAATTCGCCAGCATCCTCTCCCAAAGCGAGTCATCCCAAATAACGAACCCCACCCCCACCTAATTTCGGTTGGATCAACGACTAGTTACTTTGGAAATATTATGCAAACAGGATTTACATATTAAAAATACCAGCCGCCCCTTCTTCCTACATTTTCTTCCCCCGAGATTAAACCCTAATGGGATTTTCAAGGACTTTTGAGTTCTTCCTCCCAAATTAGCTGCTGGATAGCGTAGTTGTGATTGAAAAAAAAAAAAAAAAAAAAAAAATCTCTTTCCGATCCGGTTCACGTCAGTTTTCTATTTGGAAAGATGAGAAGGTTGAATCGAATTTGGTTTGACGAGACAGAGTTTTGGTAGCCTGGGAGCTCTGTTCCCTGTCCTAGGTCTGCAACCTTGGGACCCGTGCTCACCACCCCAGCCTTTTGCATCTGACCGACTACTGCTTCTCCTCCAGCTCCAAAATTGAAAGATTCCAACATGAAGTCTCTGTGGTAAATAGAGAAAATATTAGCAGTATGGCAATGTAGCAATTATTTCCAATAGTTTTATTCCCAAGTAATTAAGAATTATAGAGTAAGAAAATAAGGAGAAAAGTGAAAAAAAAAAAAACCCCTCAAAGGTTACATTTCTTAAACATTTATCTTTACTAGGTAAATGTTTGCATTTCATATGTATAGCACAGTATGTTTTTCAGATTCTGCTGACACGAAAAGTTAACTTTCTGTTTTGTATGATATTAGTGCCTTTTCCTGTAGCATGAAAGACATTCTAAAGGTATAAAAGGGACCGGGGTTGTAGGTCAGTGGTAGAGCACATGGAAGATCAATACTTGGAACATATTTAAGCCACATTGTTTTTTTTATATTTAGGAAAGATCTTAGAAATTTCTGTGTCTCTTTCTCTCCAGATTTTTATAAACGAAGTTTAACTGGCATGCAGTAAATATGCACAAATCTTGAATACAAATCCATTAATTTTCCTATATAAATATACTCACATAACCACTATGGGGTCAAGATATGAGCAGCTCTAGCTCCACCCTTTCTCAATTCCTATTCTCAAAGTAGCCACCATTTGACTTGTAATACCAGATACTAATTTGCCTGTCTTTGAAGTTCATATAAAGGAAGCCATTGTTATGCCCCCCTTTATGTTGTAAGCACTGCCTTTCATGAATGCCTATAAAGTCTTGTGGCATTGGGAGAATGGGCCTTATCTGCATATGCACTGACACTAGGAAGAGAGGAGCATTTCAGTATTTCAATAACTGTGATACTATCTCTTTCATTAGTGTCAGAAAATTCATATTCAAAGCCTTGGATTACAAGCTATATAGTAGTCATCCTTTGCTTTTCTTGCTTGTTTTAGCTTCTGGCCCAGGGAGCAATGAATCAGGAGAAGGTGGAGGGAAAGGATACTGGGCACAGATTGGTTTGGATTGGATGGGAGACTGGACCTGGTGAACTGTTGTTAAAGTCCCCTCTAACTCTACAAGTCTAGCTCTGATTCTGGCCATCTAGGTTTGGATTCCCTATTCACTTGTCTTGGGTACTTTGTATCTATCTACAGTCAGTTGTCCTCTTACATTTAACTGGGAAGTACTTGCCATCCACTAAAGAATGATCTACTTTTTATAATTAAAAAAGCACTCTCAGTAACAGTAATCTGCTAAGATTTTTTTTGTTGTTGTTTAATTTGTTGTTGAATCACCTACTTAAATGAAAAATAATTGGGTGATGAGATATGAAATATGGAAGTTCAGGGTAGACTTCAGATCAGGAAAATAAAGAGAAAGCATGCATTAGGGAAAGAATCATTTTTACTTAACAAACTTTGTTGAATACCTATTTCTCTGCTAGGCATAAAGGGTACAAAGATGAATGAGATGGAGGTAGGGGAACTTTGGTATAAATAACCAGTTTATTCTGCTTAGCAAATGCATGGTATTTGCGTTTCCCCAGGAAAAGTGTTTTAGCAAGAAGCTTTCTTTTAGTTAGTTAAACCTTTCAAAAGTTATTTTTGTATGTTTTGGAGTGGGTGAAGGAGAAGGTAAAGTAATTCCAACAGTTACTTTGATCACCAAATAGCTATAGATCAAAAATAGCATGCTTCAATGAAGAAAGTTTCAGCCAAATCAGAATAGGAATTCTAGGCATTTTACCTCCTAAAACTATTTACATATGGCTAGATTGTATTGAATGCCTATGGGAAAGAAAATGCTCTTTCATTTAAAGAAAAAAAGGATTGTTCCAGAGTTAAGTATGGTCACCTTTTGCCTTTTTTGTTTGTTTGTTTGTTTAGTTGGGGATGTTGTTATGTTGCTCAGTTGGCCCCCGAATTAACCTCCTGAGTAGCTGGGACTATAGGTACATACCACAACACCCAGCAAGAAACAGTTTTCTAAGCATTTTCTATGATTCTTGGAATAAATTTGCTGACTACATTTTATTCTGGGAGAGCATTCCTGCTCCCTGGAGAAGCCCACAGGATGGATACACTTTTGTAGTATCTGCAGTTCTGTGTTCTCTCTCCTGTTTTCATTCTCTAATGAAACTCAGAAAGCAGTGTGTCAAGAGCTTCTATCACAAAATGTTCAAGATTGCCATCTTGCTGACTCCCCAAGTACCCACCAGACATCAATCACCCTAACCTTTGGGTAAAGATTTCGATTTGACAAAGAAGAAAAAAAAAAAAAAAGCAAATGATCTCAAGAGTATTGCATTTTTTACCATTTTTTTTTTCTTGATTTCTGGAAGGGACCTTACAGATAATAGGAGTAAGAATTCAAAGAAGGAAGACTAGAAATCAGCTCAGCTTTCTTTATAGCTTGATCTTGCTACTCTGCTGTGTCCTCCGTTCATTCTGTAAGAGCATACCCTTGTGACTCTCATGGTAGGCAGTTGGTCTGAGCGATTTTTATCAGATGAATTTATGACCTTAAGTTTTCCCAAAACTTCCAAAAAAAAAAAAAGTTTGGCCACCTCTCAGGTAGCCATAGTTATATGGTAGAAAGTTTCTATGTCTTTTGGGGGCTCCATGAACTTAAACCTAAGTGTTTTACTTTTTTTTTAATGTAAATAGGCACACTACCTTTATTTTATTTATTTATTCATTATTTTTATGTGGTGCTGAAATCAAACCCAGTGCCTCATTAGAGTGCTAGGCAAGCGCTCTACCACTGAGCCACAACCGCAGCTCCAGTGATTTACTTTTGATCCGTGCTTTCCATAGTTGTATCCTCAGAGGTCCTGAAGTGAGGAAAACTTTAGTAGAAGTCACCAATGGTCGTTAATTTGACTCATGCAATATTGTTCTTTGGGTACCAACAGATGTGAAGGAAATATAAAAATAATATAAAGGACACAACCACTGTTCTTTTGTGGCTAGAGGAATTGCATAAGATCCTAAAAGAGGAACTCTTGGTATTTTTTAGGTTAAACAGTAAGAATTTTTTTTTTTTTTTTTTGCTGCTGTCATTATAGAGTCAATTGATAGCCAAGAATCCTCTGTAGAATGATTTACAGTCTACATCTAAAGCAGGACATTGCCATTATTTCTTTCAAATGCTGTGTTTTGGTGGTAAGATATTCACCAAATTTAGTTTTTATAAAGTTTAATATTTGAGATACGACTTTCCTAATGTTAAATATTCCGTTCCTGGAGGCAATGCATATATTAGGACCAACAACACAGTTAGGAAACATGTGCTTTTTACTGCGGCTGGCAGTTTTTCTGTTCTGAAGTTCCTCATTTGCAAAAAGGAGATATCTTACTTCTTCATCAGGTAATAACCAGAGCATGGCAACATTCCTTGTTAAGACAGGTGCTTTGCAGAAAGAAATATGTGAAGTCTAAAAAAAATCATTAGGATGCAGTCAATCAGCAGGATTTGATTTCCCTCCCTCCTTCTTTTCCTCTGTACTCCTTCCCTGGAGGCTTTTGAACACTCTGCATGCCCAGGACTTGGCTGAGGGTGTAGCAGGCTGAGGATGTAGCTCAGTGGTAGGACACTTGCTTAGGTCATGACGCCCTGGGTTCAATTCCCAGCACTGCAAAACAGAACAAACAAACAAAAAACCCCACAAATTGGTTCCTGCTCTCAGCTCACAGTCTAATAATGGAGGTGCCAGTGGGAAAAGGTCAGATGCACAGAAGGAAAATCATGGTGCAATATTGGAAATATGCACAGAGACTTAGCCTCTAATCCAGACAGAAAAGAAGGCAAAGCTCACAAGAGGATGATGCCAGGGTCATAGTTGGAAAGAACAGTGAGAGCTGATGGGAAAATCGGGGGTAAGGACATTCCCTGCAAATAAGATAGCAAAGAACAAGGTTCAGCGGTAACAGACATGGAATAGATGGAAAATTTTTACACTATCCTGGGTTGCTGGGACACAATGTGTAGTCTCCAGGATTACAGTTATTATCATTTATGAAGCTGTAATAGAAAATTGTTTAAAAACTGTGCAGTGGACTGGGGT